TCCCAGCTACTCGGGAGGCTGAGGCAGGAGAATTCCTTAAGCTGAAGAGTTTGAGGTTGCTGTGAGCTAGGGAGACACCACGGCACTCTAGCCCAGGTGCCAGAGCAAGACTCCGTCTCACAAAATAAAAAAAGTAATGATAAAAAGATACCTGGAAACTCTTTTCATAAAGATGGCACTGAAAGCAAAGGAGACCCCTGGTTCTCCCAAAGCTGAAGCCAAAGCAAAGGCTTTGAAGGCCAAGCAGTCAGTGCTGAGGCATCCACAGACACAAAATAAAAAGATCTGAACATCACCCACCTCTGGTGGCCTAAGACACTGCAGCTCCAAAGGTAGCCTAAATATCCTTGGAAGAATACCCACAGAAGAAACAAGCTTACCTGCTGTGCCGTCACCAAGATTCCCTTAGCCACTGAGTCAGCCATGAAAAAGACAGAAGACAACAACACACTTGTGTTCACTGTGGATGTCAAGGCCAAGAAGCACCAGATGAAACAGGCTGCAAAGCTCTATTACAGTGATGTGGCCAATGTCAACACTCCGATTAAACCCAATGGAAAGAAGAAGGCATATATATGTTCAACTGGCTCCTGACTATGATACTTTGGATATAGCCAACAAAACTGGGATCATCTAAACTGAGCCCAGGCAGCTAATTCTAAACATAAATCTTTTCACCATAAAGAAAAAAAGGATCTGGAAACTCCCCAAACATTTGCAGATTAAACAACACATTTCCTTTTTTCTTGAATTAAATTATTTTAATTGACAAATATGAATTGTATATATTAATATTTATGGCATACAACATGATGTTTTGAAATATGTAAACATTGTGGATTGTCTAAATCAAACTAATTAACCTATGCATCACCTCACACACTTAACATTTTTTTGTGGTGAGAACACTTAAAAACTGCTACTCTCTTAGCAATTTTCAAATGTAGAAATACATTGTTATTAACTATAGTCATCATGTCATAGACAGATCTCCTGAACTTATTCTTCCTGTCTAACTGGAATTCTGTATCCTTTGACCAGCATTTCCTCAATCCCCCCAACAACAGATTTCTTAATAACCACTGT